TTCGCCAAAGTACATAATAGTTCTAGAAACGTTGCGTCACAGTAGTCATGTGACTCGATGACGCAACAATACTTTGGATGGCAGTTAAATTGGTAACATTCATTTTGGGTCAAAGAACATGTTCAGGTTCTGAAGAACGCAGGTTTCGTTGCATGATACAGGTGTAAAAAAACAACAACAAAAAAAAAAAATTGGAGCCCCAACATTGAACTTCGAACTCCTGCCAATATATATATAATTTTTGTATGTGGGGATGAGGCATGGATGATGTGTTGTTCTTTTCATATATGTTGACTTTACGTCGACCATTTTAGACTGAATTGGGGCTAAAGAAACAAAGAAATAAAAAAAAAACCGACTTAACATGTCCTGTTGATTAGGACGCTCGACTCGCAATCTGTGAAACCCGTCTCCTGAACGTCCTTGTCCTTTTAGCCGTGGGGGACGTTATTATGTGATGGCCAATCTCACTTTCCACTGGTAAAGAGTAGCCCAAAAGTGGCAGTGGGTGGTATTGACTAGCTGGCTTGCCTCTAGTATATCATTTAAAAATGAGGGACGGCTAGTATAGGTAGCCTTCGAGTAGCTTTGCCGGAAAATTAAAAAAATTCTTTCTATAGTTGTATTTTTTAAAGTAGGCTTCACTTGATATATTTAAGAAAGGAGTTGTATTTATGACAAAGCTACTGACTTTATCTGCCTTCGTCCCTAATTTTCAACTGCTGATCAGGAGGAAAGATCCAAGTCACTCTGCAGCACGCTTCTACACATCATCCATGCTAAGGAATTAACTTAAAGTGGGGGAATATTTTGGAATACCACACTGATTCGAACCCGGCTCGCTAGCTCTGAATTCCAGAGCTTTACCACAAGGACAAGCTAGAAACGAATTGCAAACTGTGATATCCCATACTTTTCATTAGTGTGTCCGATCAATCATACTCAGATAGCTTTCCTTTCTTATTTAAAAGTTTTGTCCTAATCTTTTTTTAAAGTATTTTTTAAAAATGTCGTTTGGTAATCAGACACTTGGTGATAGGCCATAAACAATGAGCAGAATATCACTCATATTCTTCGAGATGTCGAACGGTCTGTGAAACCTTTTTTTCTATTCAGTCTAATGTAACATTTTTTATCAGATTATAGAGGGTATACATTGTATTCAAGAAATCACACTGGAGTAAATTCTTATTGACCAATAGCAAATTCAGAAATAACTGATAGTAATATTAATTCATTATTTGACATACCTCTGTATGTTACTCTAATACCGTTACTTTTTTAGGAACTGAATCGTATTAAAGGAGGTGATAGAGGAGGTTGAGCTCTGAGTGGAGTTTATGACATGCAGAATACAGGAGCCTGAGTGAAAAGGTACACATCTTTTTCTTTATCGAAAACCATTTTACTAACGATTGGGTAGTATGTTTATTTAAAAGTAAAATTTTCTCATCATTTTTAAAATGTGGTTTTAGCGTTTAAGAATTTTATTACGTAAATCGTTTTTTGTTGATGTCGTATTTCTCGGTACACGGGCAGAGCAATATTTAGGATCCGCTTAACAGGAGGTCTGACGAATATTGTAGAGAAGCTATTCCCAACCGTTTTGTTCCTCTGTACCCCTTGGGCATTCTCTCCCAAAACACTAGTGGAGGAGAGCTTACCCAGTTGGCTGATCCCTAGTTTATCAGCTGATTTGTAACGAGGGTGTTCTATATTGCTTATGTTCTACATTACGTATTGCAAACATGAGTTATAATGTAGCACAGCAATAACATCACAACGTTCACCATGATCACAACGTTTTGTCTAAAGAGCATATATTTATGTGAGCCACTTTGCTCTCTTTGTATAACTGTAGATTAAAACACCATGTAAAGTGTAAACCATGGTTATACTCTCAGACCCCTATGTACCCCCTGAGAAGTGCAAATGTACCCCTGGGAGTACACGTACCCCAGGTTGGGAATGTCTGTAGTAGATTATAGGTTCTTTACTTTTCGAACTTCGACAGAGTTTTTCAGCAAGAAGTTCGCACGCAAAATGCACAAAACAGCAATCCTTTAATAACAAAAACACAATCAAAGTACAAACATAATACAATAGAGCAATGCAAGGGCAACTGTTTTCACTGGATGTCTGGAACTGGCAAGGGAGAGTGCAAACTAATTTCGGTGCAAACTAAAAAAAGTTAAAATCTAAATCTGCGGGTCGTTGGTCCGAATCCCGTCATTGAATTAATTCGCCCTTTCAGTCGTGGTTAGTTATTATGTTATGGTCAATTTCCCTATTCGTTGGTAAAACAGTAGCCCCAAGAGTTGGCGGTGGGTGATGTTGACTAGTTGCCTTCCTTCTAGTCTATCACTTCAAAGTTTGAGATGGGTAGCACATATAGCTTTCGAGTAGCTTTGTACAAAATTTTACAAATAAACAAAATATTAAGCTGTGAAAAAAATGGTATGATCTTATTTCCACTCAACATAATAATTTGCTTTTTTAAAAGCATTTACGTTGTATTTATTTGTAGTTAAGCGCAAAGCTACACACAAAGGGCTATTTGTGCTCTGCCCATCACCGATATCGAAAACCGGTTTCTAGCGTTCTAAGTCCGCAGACATACCGCTGTACCACTGGGGGGCTTGTGTGATGTAATGAAAAATCTAAATTTTTACACATATTTAATACTATGTCATCGGAATGTAACCTTCACTTGTTTTGTTATACATTTTTCTTATTAGGCGCCAGAATGGAGTACTTTGAGAATTGGGAATCGTTCGATGAAACATCTTTATATACGTTGCTGAATTGCTTAAAAAAACATTGATTTTAAGTCCTTTCAAATTCTTACATCATATGCCAGCTTCTTTTTTTTTAATGTGCGTGTGATGCCGGGCGTGGCCTAGTAGTTAGCGTGCCCGGAGTTGAGAATTCGAGTATTCATGGTTGACGAAAAAACGCGCTCGCACTTTGTGGCTGTGAGCGCGTTATAAGAGTAACGGTTAAATTCTATTAATCTGTCAGTCAAGAGTAGCCCAAGTGTTGGCGGTAGCTGTTAGCGGTCTTTCATCTAGTATCTTAGTTCAAAATGAGGGACGGCTATTTGCAAATAGTCTTATGCGAACATCTGAAACAAACAAACTTGTTAATGGTGCTATATAATTTTTGCAGCGTGTATAATTGTAGCTGTTATGTATAGCAAAGGTATCGTACAATGTCCTAAAACCTGTTTTAAAAAGTGTTACTAGAATTATACATAAAATGTTGTATATCTTTACAGGAAAGGCATATAAAGCCGAACCTAATCTATTTATTTTGTAACATGCATATAGACACTACAGTTCAAATTAGGCTTCAGAGCTGTTAGTTGTAATCTAAGGAACTGTTTAAAATAATGGTGTTGTAATATGTAAATTTTAGACGTATCACAACACATAAGACTGAATTTTGAGAATGAATATAGAATAATGGTTTTTGATAATTTGTTTAAAACCATTGGTGGTATATGTGAATAAAACAACGTATAGCTTTCGTACAGAATGGAATATATGAGGTGACATTTGAATATATATTCAAATATCTCTATTAATACTATAGGATCAACCTAACTACTGTATCAGATTAAATATCCCCGTTCTTTGGTGAGAATGTACAGGCAATCTTTCATCCTAGTGTGTATTTCGATAACCAATACCGTGTGACAAGGTGGTTAAAGTTGGCAGGCTACATACATGACTTTATCAGCTGTCCAAAAGTTAAGGTGACTGGCAATCTTCAAGATCACGTTTTACTGAAATATGTTTGTTTGCTTCACACGATTTCGTGTAGATGTGGATGTGTTCAGAAATATAACATAAAGTCACGCAAGGCAAATAAACAAATGGATTTATATAGTTCCTTGTCTTTGTTTAGTTACAATGAAATGTGAGGACACTTTGGAAAGCAGACGAGTAATTATTTGAATATGAAAAAAAAAAGAAAACTATAGTTTCTCCACTGAATATAATTCCAGTATACTAACAACTACAATATATGCTTTGGTCATAGCTCAACTATTTCATTTGCATTTGAAAAGGTAAAGTGTGCGTTTGCGTTATTGTAAACGTCACAAATGTCTTTATCTTTATTGGGTCATTCACATTTCATGATCCAGGTAGGATGACCATGGATTTTTAATTTCCTACTTTCATGCAACTTTCTGTTTTATGTTCCATACTTACAGCTACTTAACATCTATTAGATCTTATAAGGAGCCAAAATGTCGGGTGTTTTTTTTTTATATAAGAAACATAGTAACATACACTGCTCTGAAAGTTGCTGACGCTTTGCGCTGTTACGTTAGCGAAGCTCAAATAGTCAAGCAAGCCCGATCGCTACGGCCGGTTGTTGTCATTGTATTCCGCTGTTGGTTAAACTAACTTTGGATTTAACTAGATACTTTATTTATATAGTCTTGACGTTCCATAATACATGACCACGTGGTATATTTAATAATTGAAAGGGACAAATTGAAAAATGTGAGCTCGAAATTCAGGAATTTTGAATTATATTTCCTTGGGCGGTGACCTCACAAGCTACGTTCGAGGCCGCTAGGAGGCAATGGCCAATGGCAGCACCGCCTGTAACATAACCGTCCTATCCCGAACTAGGGTGGGCTTGAATGCTACCGTTTATTATTGTTTTATTAGGAGTGTACGGAGTGCTTTGCACTTGCTAACTTTCTCTCAAACCACGAAGTTTGGCTTTATAGCGGGCGAAGAACACGTATAAAGGTGTTCAGGTCTAAGTAACCCAACGGAACTTGGACTTCCGGTAGCTTAACTCGTGGTTATTGAAATGCCGTGATCTACTCGGAAGAAAACAAGGCAACATGAGCTCAACTGTAAATGTCATGATTCCGTACGCTAAGCTGTCGAGAAGAGATAGTGAGTAATAAGGTTTTAATGGTGTTTAAATCCTGTGTTGCTAGATCTAGTAGAACGGGTACGTAAAACCCCGAGCTCTAGGGAAAGAACGAAATTAAGATGTCACCCATTTTCTGCAATGGATTTCATTGCAGGCGGTGCTCAGCAAAGATATTTAAAAGCAGTTTTAAAGTGTCCAGTTTTTATGTCTAGAAATATGACATAGCAACATGGAGTTCAGTCTAGCTTGTAATAAACATTCAAGTGTATAAAGTGTACGTTATACACTGATAAAATGGAGTTGTCAGGTGTGCGATCAGCTAAAAAAAAAGTCATCAGGCAATTTAGTAACTAGGACTTATAATGAACATATGCTCTATTTCATCATAGGTTTGGTTTGTTGTTTTAACGCAGACACACAACTTGTATGTGTTTTTGCTATATATGTAAATACATATTTATTCTTATTTACTTATCACCTTGTACATCTTAGGTTCTATAATTCTGTTCATACAAATACTTGACCTATGGAAGGACTGTCCGTTCGAGAAGTTGAAATTTACTTATGATCCAGGCAATCTATTATTAATAAAGTATTTTTTTTCTTTTTTCACCGGTTTAGTGTTTTTATGTTTCATTAGGAGTATCCACCTTTCCACAACTGGGTGGGTGCACACTGCGCGTGGCAGAACGTCTTTGCATGTGGAACTTTGTAGGTTTGATATTTGTATCTGCTTCGCATTTTAACTTGTAGTTCTATTTCACTGACGAGGCTTAAAAATGGAGGCTAAATCCGATTTAAGACGCATTACTACAACTATGTGGGTCCTACTGCTGTAGATTCCGCCTTTACGAGGATACATATTATTCTCACTCTGTTGTTTATAGCTAAGTTCATTTGTCTTTCGTTCTTGTAAAAAGACATTTGTGTTTGACCAAGACACAATATTTTCTCTATAGAAGAAGAAGATAAAAACGGGTATTGGGTCCCTGTAGATGGGTGGGGTAGGGGCTTTTGAGTTTTGGAAAATAATAGTTTAAAGGTTATTAATTTTGTTATTTGTGATGGGGCTGGAGCTGGGTACTGTAGTTGACTACTTCAACCAAATATCAATTCCCAATGCAACTAAGGCAGTCGTAAAGTTAATTATAGTGTTTCCGCTTTTAGATAATAAAAAAATCCAAAATATATTCCGATTTCAGAACCGGAGAGATCAAGCAGAAATTAAGTATAACCTCGATGTTTAATACACACACACACACTTCGAAAGCTCAAGGACTGGGCTATGATTCATGTGTAACATTTTAATTTTTTTTTTCTAGTCAGTCTTGGTTGCTTCCTTCTTCGAACAACCTTCACCAACCTCTATATTGTACGCTAACATAAGAATAGCACGTCCGCTTTGCTTCATTGTATAGTTGTACCGTTTAACAATAAATCTAACCTAAGAATTTTCTGTAACGTTAAGAGTCTGTGTGTTGTGAAGAAAGTATTAGATATTCTATTTTTGGTGAAGCCTTAACAAAAACAATGTATGTTGAGTATAGGGTCCTTATTTTTTGTAAGCGAGCACTATATTACAGCACCTAACTAAACGTCCTTATCCAAAGCTAGTCGTACAAACGTTGCGGCACTGTGACAATCTCATTTTATCAAACACTTACGCAAACGTATCTAATATTTTTACCTATGTACTAAAGCAGACTAATGGAGTTTTTTTTAAAATCATAGTTCCTTTTACCGGCTTCACTTTTTCGGATCAAATATCATAACGAAGATCCGAACCAAAATCATCCGTATGCATTGTACACATCACTCTTAAAAGTTGGAAAAAAATATGCTGTTTATGTTTATATAATAAAATCTAGCACATTTTTAATGAGTTATAAAGTAGGCCTCCAGGGGAATTGAACTCTTCTCGCTGCAACTGTAGATAAGTACTAAATTATTAGACGAACAAATAGTTTATTTTGTTGTTTTATAGTTGTATGTAGGCTTAACCAACTCCCGAGAATTATATATACGTATTTGATAGTAACATTTGTGCTGTGTGCTGTATCAAAACATTGTTATGCTGTAGAAGCCAGGGGTTTTCTTAGTGTGCAGTTGAAAATTCACCTATATAAGTGTGTTCAAGTAGATAAATATTAAAAAAAAACATATTTAAGATTCTACAGTTCCATTACAGAGTTTATAAATAACAGTATCTTTCGTTACTAGGCCTGTACATATGAGATGCAATTATGAGTTATGTATTAAATGAAGTTAGAATGTAATTGTACAGTTGGAAAAATCCTTAGGAAAAGCTCTGGCGGAAGCAAAGCACCAACCGTTATGAATATATGTTTGAAATCGGTAAAAAGTAGTTCCTTCCTATTTTATGCCCCTTAAGGCTCAGTGGTAAACTTGTGGTCTATAACGCCAAAAATCAGTGTTCGATTCCGTGGCGGGCACAGCATAGATAGTCCGTCGTGTAGATTTACATTTAAACACAAACAAAACCATTTTCTGAATATTTCATAAATGTTGCTTATACTGTAAGATAATAAGTTGTGTTTTTGGAATTTCGATTATTCTTGTTCTATTTAGCCTAAATAGTTATTATCTTTCGATGGAAATTCCATTCAGGTTTAGTAAAGTAAGGTACTTCAATTATGGGGAAAACAAATAAATTAGGTTTTGTAATTAAACTCGTGACATTACACGCATAATGAATATGCGTGACTAATTATATAAAGTCACAAATTTAGACAATATTTAGCCTTCCCGTGGGGAGGAAGAACTTAGGCCTAAAATGTATTACTTTCATGGTTTTCGTTATTGAAGAGCGCAGATGATCCCCTGCCCTGATTTATTATTACACATGGGCTATGTTGAGTGTTCTACAAGCTATTACGGTAATACTCTAGTTATTTAAGTTTTCAGCCAGACTTTAGATTTAGAAATTATGTAGTTTCGATATTTAGTAAAATTAACGATATTACAGCGATAAGTATGCAGAATTTTAAATTTACATTAAAAGAAAGTTATGTTTGATTAACATGGGTGTGTTTAATACTAATAGCACAGCGTTTAAAAACGTTTTTGTTAAGGTTTCTCGGTCGTGTGCTTATATCAGTACTCGAACGGTTTCACACAGAGAGAACATAATTCTGACACTTTTTCATATAAAATCAGGTTGTGAAGACTGGCTGAGTAAGACTATCCAGTTAGTAAAACTTCACATGGTGAAGCCTGTCGATATAACCAGACTAGAACCTCGGCATAGTTGTTTCCATTTATGGCCGAGTTCCTGCAGTACAAGGTGAGAAACCAAACTCGTGCTCCTTAGCTTAGTTCGTTACGTTGCTAGCTGACCCGGACTATTCAGGCTGGTGATCTGATACACAAAAGCAGGGATGATTCCCAAGAATCTCAGCGGAATGTTGGGTGTTATTCCCTATTCATAAAATGGGCTACTTGGTGTTGAAACCATGCATAAACGTATCAGAACAAACGTCCATACACACGTGAAGGAAAGAATTCACTCCCTGTATACATTGTTGCCCACCTCATTAACTACATTCCATAATCCCTTTTGCTGGTTTTCTTTCCTTCTCGAGCGGCATTGGAGGTTCTCTGAATCGTTACCAGCTGTAGAGTCACGTCTCTCCCCAGACAATAAACACGTGCCGGCTAACGACCTCATCACACTAAACGACCTTGTCTCCAGCCAGAGCTGTGAGTATATGTTGCCATTATCTGTACGCCGCGGTAGTAGTGTAGTGGCGTTCAGTGTCCAAAAGCAGATCTCAGAACAACATTCGTGTGACCTAATACACTACCCTGTTGTCAATTTTAGAATTTCTTTACTTAGGAACTGCAGTAATTGGGGAAAAGGAAAAAAACACAACAATTCAGCATAAAAAGTCTGTGAGAGTATTTTATTAAACGTACTTTTGACCAAAGAAAAAGTTTGTTATTAAACGCAAAGCTTCACAATGGGCTATTTGTGCTGTGTCCGCCACGGGTATCCAAACCCGGTTTTTTAGTGTTCATACTTACCGCTGAGCCAATGGAGTGCGTGATGAGAAGAAGAAAAAAATGCCATAAACAAAGTGAAATTGTACTTTTTTGCGCGTATAAATTTGGATATGACATATACACATTCATTGTGAGTCATTAATGTAACATAAAAATTATTAGGCCTGTCATTATGATTATAATATAAAGAAAGCAGAAAAATGTATAGCAAGAAAGATTTAACTTTTAGATTTAATAAGAAAAAATAGTATAAAATGCGTTCATATCTTTCATTTTTCACGCCAACAGCAAGAAAAACAATTTTATTATTATTGTAACCAAGCATTGTGAAGCTTTACAGTATTCACTAATCTACACTGATACCGTTCGTAATGCATTAGTATTTACTCTAAATTTGTAAGTTAAATAGTAGAAACGAACTACAGTACTTTTGCTCAGGATAGTTATCAATGATATTACATATTCACACCTGTTTTTAGTGATGTTTGTTTTTGAATTTCGCGCAAAGCTACACGAGGGCTATCTGCGCTAGCTGTCCCTAATTTAGCAGTGTAAGACTAGAGGGAAGGCAGCTAGTCATCACCACCCACCGCCAACTCTCGGGCTACTCTTGTACCAACGAATAGTGGGATTGACCGTAACACTATAACGCCCCCCCCCCCACCCATGGCTGAAAGGGCGAGCATGTTTGGTGTGACGGGGATTCGAACCCGTAGATTTATAGTCGAGCGCCCTAACCATCTGGCCATGCCGGGCCTTTTAGTGATGTTTACTGTGACATTGACCTACTTTACCAAAAGTTATTTATATACTATAATTCGATTTGACAGCATAGTTAATTTTGAAAATCCTGTCATATTTCCATTACAAAGAAAGAAAGTAATATATTCTATTATGTTGGCTTGACCTGATTCTCTTGTGTTACTTCAAGATTTATTGTTTTTCCGTCCTTATAAAAACAATTAATTGCAATAGCTATAGGAACCTCAGGAAATGTTACGCAGTAGGAAATCTAATTTTCCTTACATTGACAGACTTGAAGAAAGAGACTAAATACAATGTACAAACAAAGTGAACCACACAAATCAAGAGTACAGAACACCAGACAGTGAGTGCTATTCTTATTCAGAAGGTTGATCTGGCCAAGATCCAAAGATAATTTGAATAGTGTGGAGTTCTGAAAAAAAAAAAAATGTGTGTAAGAGTGGGAGAATACAACTGTTTAAAATAATACTATCTCTCTCATACATGTACTACCTGCGTCACTTTTGGTCATTCCAATAGAAAATAAGTAGGTCATATCCTCAAGGTATCACCTGACATGCCAAAAGAAAAATATCATTCTCTATCTTCACATGGTGTGTTTTACTTTGCAGTAATATTTTCCATGAGAAAGGGCATGTGACTACAAAAAAAAAGGAATGACCCAGATCAGAAGGTAATAGGTTGAAAGTAATCTAGCTATATTCTATGACCAGCATTTTACTGATAAAACTACACACATGGTCTGCCTAGAAACGTGTATGTACAGACAAAATTGAAAATTCTAGGTGATCCCAAATAATTCACCTTACTAAACTAAAGAGGATAGGAAACACTAAATATCAATTTCATAACACGCATTTCCTCCTTTATTCACCTTCAGGCCATCCCCAACTTTAAGTTTTAAAGTCCAATGAAATAAATGAAAACCACATATTAGCCGTGAAACTGGCGTAAATTGCTCTCGCCCCTGTGAAATACTTACACAACACTACATCTAGGTTAAATAGACAACATAAACAAAATACCCTATAACACAGACACTAACCGGCAATAATACAATACTAGCAAAACCCTTAAAGAAAATTAATATCTGAATATTGTAAAAAAATAAATTCATTAAACAAAATACACAATGAAACCTACATTACTAGTGAATTAATTTGAAATATAACACGATAAAACGTTTTAACATAGAATCAATAAAATGGTTCAAAACACAAGGAATAAGCCTTTTGACACATAATACCCATAAATAATAATAATAAATATCAGTTATAAAACAAGTTGTACTGTACAACTTTATCATCATGTCCTTCAATGTATAAAATAATCATGCAAAAAGAAACTTTAACAACGATTAAAAAAAATGCTTTAAACATCCGAGTCTGAATTCTGTAATAATTTATGAGTGAAAGTTGCTAGATATACACGACTGTTTGCCTTTAACTTTCATACTAGAATTATGATTTAGATAGTTTATATAGCGCGTTAAATTTAGAAGGATAGTTTATCGCCGATTTGTTTACGTAAATGTTTGCGAATCATACGTCATGTAGTTCAATAGTTATGAATGGGTGATTGTTATTGGGTTATGTTATTAGAACCTTCCGAGTTTTTCTCTTTGTATTAATTGAGTATTATTGCATCATAATATCTAGTAGTGTAGGGAACGTTCTAGACCTGTGTCGGGATATAAATACGCGGCCAAAATGTAGTTCGAGATAGTTAGATAGATCTAAACTCTGTGATTGTGAGTTTAGCGATAAAGAGCATGTATGGGCGACTTTTAAAGTGAAATTATCACAGCTTGTATTGTAATAACGGAATAGAGAAGACTAATTTGTCTTGGAAATTGTGTTTTAAAGTAATTGAACCAGTCTGTGTAGATTTTGATGAAAAAAAGAAGAGAGATAATTATTTAAAGCTCTGGGTACAACTGTGATAACCAACAGTGTAACGAACATTTGTATATACGTTTGACTTCTTTTAATGTATTATTTCATGACAAGTGGACTGTGTTGATGTTTCTTTATTGTTTTAATGTATTATTTTATGACAAGTGGATTGTGTTGCTGGTTGTTTATTGTTGACATTTATTGTCAACAAGTCGCAGTAACCTACTGTAAAAAATCCGGCCCATACATAAAAACCTGACAAAGGTAAAGAAGAATCTATAACAATATGCCCACCACACTGTACCTGCTATATCCACACTTTTTTGCCCAATTCCAGGTTTCCATCAGGCCAGTGGGGATACAACAGTGGTTGAGACACTACTTATATTATCAAAGTGCAGGAACAATAACTTTTCTGGTGTGAAGATTAAATTGGTGAAATGCAATTTTTACCAATTTTACGAGTCATTTACAAATTAGAATTAGGCTATGTATTTAGGAGCCCAAGACTGAACACAATATTCCAAATGTGGCCTAACCAGTGACCTGTACAATGAAATTATAATCTCTTTAGACTTGTATTCAATATTTCTGTAGATACAACCTAAAATCCTATTTGCCCTACTACTAGCACCAGCACACTGCTTGGATGGCTTTAGAGACTGATCAGCTATTACACCAAGATCCCGTTATTTCATAACACTGTTAAGGTTATTCCAATCCAAATTATACTCATAATCAAATTATAACTCACATGCATTATCTTGCATTTATTATAATTAAAACCCATTTGACATTTATTTGCTCAACTCACTAAATGATCTAACTGCTTTTGTAAATCAGCAGCACTCTTCACAGCTAGCAATACCCAAAACCTAATATCTGCAAATTTAAGTAATTTATTGACCATTCTTTAATCTATGTCATTTGATGTAAATAAAAAAGCAAAGGTCCTAAGACTGAACCCTGAGGTACCCCATTCAATTTAAAATGAAGTTTATTTGTGAAGCCATTATTTGCTTCCTGTTTGAAGCAAAGCTAGCTGGGATCTGGATATTATGAAGTTTAAGTCTTAGTCCAGGGGAAAAAGAAGTTGATATAAAAACTAAATATGCAGCATCTGTGTATTTTTCCTTATGATGAAAGTATAACTGTTGTATCATTACTTGTATAATTCAAATGAATATATTAAGCTAGATTGCATTTAGGTGGATTTTAAGTTATTAGGGCATCATTTTATGAAAAATGAATTTGTTCAATACTAAATGATCTTTACTGAATTTTTAATAAAAGCAAGTTAAATCACACTGATAAGGTGAATAAAGTAGATATTTTTATAATTAATGATATTTATTTATTATTTGAACTAATATTCCTTTTTTTTTCAAATGCAAATGAAAACTTTCTATTTACTAACTGATAAACTAAGTTTTACACAAACTGCAAAGTTTATCTACCATTTCTGTTAACGTTATGATTGAAAAAATTTGGATGCAATATTTTGTTTTTCTTTTTGTATAACTATGTGTAGTATTAGGAATGCTATTTAATATAAAACTTTTTTTTGTATTTATAGGTCCCTCAAACAGTCTGGATTGTAAAATTTTACCAAATCATCCTATTCATCAAGGGCCTTCTGATCTCCTACCAGATAATTACATCCCATTCAAGCCTTTCTTTCTTCCATCATTAACATTTGATTCCGAAGTAGTTTCTTATTCATTATCAGTACCTAAACCAACAATTACTCTAACACCTGCAGTTAAAAAATTTGCCTCATCCCCATTTAACATAGGAATTGGTTATTGTAATAACAGGCTCATATCTCAAGAACAGAAAAATGTGAGTTTAATGCCAAGAGATAAGAAAGTACTGGAGATTACTGCAGGTGATTGTTCAGAAGAAGAAGACGTAAAAACAAAGGAGTCATCTTCACCTCTTCATTCAAGCAGATTAAATAAATCAAGCAGTTATTCCAATAGTAATATTATTCCATGTGGTTGGGGTACATCTCCTATGAATGGATCAAACAGAGTTGCCATGACTGGCAGCTCTAACCCAGTAACAGAAGATTTAAAATGGTTGGCTAATGTAGGTACAGTTAACCAGAATCACTCTTTATCACCCTCTCAATCATCAGTAATACATTTGTCTGACCCTCCTGGACTGCCAGCTTCATTCATCCACTCAGACTTTGGTAGCCTGTTCCATTCACCAGCTTCATTGAGAAGTGATTTAAATGATCAAAGATTTTATAGTTCACAATTTCAATTCTCAAACCATCACACACCACATTCACCTTCTCTTTCTGGGACCAGCATAAATAATAAAAGCTCACAACTTACAACTTACAATTCTCTCTATCCTGCTTATTCTAACTGTGCACCTAGTTTAGGTCGTCAACATTTCTTTTCATCAGAATCTTATCCTGTAGTTCTTCCAAAAGGTGGTAGCCATACTCTAAGTGTGACAAATCATCCTTTAGTACAGCCCCAGTCAACTGTTGCTCTTAGTCACTCAATTTCTGTACCTAGTCACCTAACACAAGTTAGACATAATTATGTGCCAACAGCAAGCCCTTGTGAGCAGCAGGGACCTTTGATACAAACAAGATCTCATTATCTTGTCGAACCTAGCCAATCTCTTGAAAGAAAGCACTACATCAATAAGTTGTCATCTCGGTATTCTCCAGTTTCAAGAATGGAAGATAAACATATTCCTTCCAAATCAACTCCAGGTGAGGAAGTCCAGTTTCAACTGTCTAAACATTCCGTGTCTAATTCTTGCACTAAACAAGTGCCGTTAGACTCTAAGTTGTCCAGAGGTATACCTCAGGGAATGAGCTACAAGATTCCAGCTGGTAAAGAAGGCAGTCTAAAACATCGCATTTTGAGGCCTTCAAATATACATATAACTGAACCACCAGCTTCTGCACTCCACAGTGCACCTCTCTCTGCCCCCCCAATTCATGGACAACGAGATGAACTTCCATCACCAAAACAACCTTGCCTGGGAACACCTGTGCCTCAAAGTAGCTTTTCTTCTTTTTCATCACATGCGGCTCAACGACTAATTCCACCAAAACGAAATGCAGTCTCTAATGCATTCAGTCCATCCAATGACATGATATTTCAACAGGCCAACAGATCTTCTACTTCTCAACTTCATTATCCAGTTTATTTCAGAAAAGGGTCCATCATACAACTTGCAGATGGACAGTTAAAGAAGGTGGAAAATCTGGCAACTGAAGATTTCATACATAGTGCTAGTCAGAGTGCTGATCTTCGTATAGACAGTAGCACTGTTGTAAAAATAGAGGAAGTAACCAATTCAGGTTCAGTCACATTAGGGTTCTGTGTGGGGAACAGCCAGGTACAGGTGTGTTGAAAAACCTACTTTAATCACCTTATATGAAATAGTAAACATCATCCTCTACATTTAAGTTGCATAAATAGATTGTATAGTCCCCAATATATATCTACAAGTGTTTCTTTAATAGGTAGTTGCTGCCCATTTCACAGTCAACTCAGTATGAATACTCTGTCTAAAGTATTTATAAAAGAATTGACATCCAGTGATTTGCTTTGCAGCTTCTTCAGAAGTGTTCCACTAAAACACAAACTGTAACTAACAGGACAAAGTTATAGTTTATGTTTTAGTGGAATGGTTCTGAAGTTGCTGTAAAGTGAAACAGTGAGTGTCCAATTAAAGAAAAGTAAAAAAAAATGTTTGTTTTTGTTTTGAATTTCCTGCAAAACTACGTAAGGGCTATCTGCAATACCCATCCCTAATTTAGCAGCGTAAGACTAGTCATCACCACCCACCGCCAACTCTTTTACCAAAAAATAGTGGGATTGATCGTCACATTATAATGCCCCCACGGCTTAAAGGGGCGAGCATGTTTAGTGGAAAATTTGGTGTTATAAGGTTATTTATTACTAGTATTAAAATGCAAAGGTTAGGACACTCATGCAGCCATTGCTTTTGTTTTCACAGTAAGTAGCCAAGTCTAATTTACTTTTTAATTATCCAGTATTTTACGTTGATACAAACTTCAAGTGGTATACTTACAGGACAATAGTAGTGAAACTAGGTCAATTATAATTCCATTAGTCGTTGGTTTATGATGTTAACCTAGAGGAGTCGATGAATATGTTCCAAACTGCTATCCTCAGCTGACCATGCCCTTTATTATATTTATATAAGCTGATGAGTTCTATAATAAGTGACACACCTAACACAGAAAGGAGGACTGATAATATCAGTGATAAAAAGTCCATATCAGTGTTAGTATTCAAGTAATATCTCATTGAAATTTATAGAACAAATTTAATTTTTGATACCTATTCTAAGGTCAATGGGGCCAACAGAAACAAAGTTGCAGAAGTTGAAATTTTGTCTGTGAGGGATGCTATTTGGAATAGTTTGACCACTTTAAGAGACGTTCTTGTAGAGTAATGATTACATTTGAATATTTTGACTTTTTGCAGTATCATTTCTGACAGAAAATAGAATCTACTACAATGGTTTTTAGTGTTCGGACTAGTTTTAACAAAATTTATCTTAATATAGTACTTTATAACTTGTCAAGATATCTAAGCAATACATGTTGAGAAGGGGGAAATATTAGGGTCAGTGGTTAAGAAACTTGTATGAAAATAACAAGGCAAAACAATATGAAACTGTGAATCTAGGAGGTGAACTTGGACTAATAAGAAGTCACAACTATAAATGTTGAAAATATCTCACACTCTACAAAATTTAAAAAATTCAGAAAACAGCTGAAATGGGATAGAAAAAATATATTTAAAAACAATGTTTCACTGCTGTTAACATGACATCATCAGGTACTTGGCACAACTAAATGTAACACTTAAATACATCCAATTTGTGACATCACAAACATAACCTCATGCTTAGCATAGTATGAACCTACTCCTTATGTTTCATTCATTAAAATAGCTTCTTATATTTTATGTTTATTAATATTAGATTCTTGAAAAAATAATTTTAACAATTTCATTTTCACTACAATGTTCTGTATCCTTAAAAAGTTGAATATAATCTTAAAAAATAGAATTAATCCAACAACAGTTGAGAAAGTAGTAGTTTGTGGTGTAGAATGTATGGACAGTAATATTCTCTATATAGGGGAGATTGGTACGAATTTTAGTACAAAAACAATGAAACATGGACATGCTCCGTCATGTCTACCAACTTTTTAAGGATACAGAACATTGTAGTGTAAATAAGATTATTAAAATCATTTGTCAAAAGCCTAATATTAATGAACATAAAATAAAAGAAGCTGTTTTAATAGAAGAATACAAACCTTTAACAAACAAAACATAAAGAGTAGGTTTATATTTATGCTTAGCACAAGGTTATGTTTGTGACATCATCAATTGGGTGTATTTAATTGTGCCAAGTACCTGATGATGCCACATTAACAGTAGCAAAACGTTGTTTTTAAATGATATATTTTTTCTATCCCATTTTTAAACACAACATGCTTTATCTAGTCCTTTAGGGATTTTCAAGAATTAGAAGTGTATAATAATAGTATTCCAACCACACTCTATATGTCATATCCATTGCCGACAACTCATTGCGCTCAATCTAGAGCTCTTCATGTCAGCTGGGATACAACAAATGCAGCAGTGGTTGAAACACTATTTATAGAAGCCATTTGATACAACAACAATTGTTATGGTGTGTATGCCATTAGTTGTGGTATTGTGCAGAATTTCAGCCATATTTATTGAACTAGATTTTTATTGCTTTCCAGATTAAGATTTTGAAAGTTACATTCAGCAGATTTTGGCCAGAAATGAAGTGTTACCTCTAAATATATCCACTACATTAGTTAGTTTTCTTAAGTAATTTTCTCTTTCTTACATAAAAATATACCATGGAATAAAACAAAATGTTGCCAAATCAGTCAGAAGTTAAAGCTATATAGTGTCTTTGGGAAAACATTAGCTAGTCTCCACAAGATAAAAAAAAAAGTTTTATGCTATCTTATACAAGCTATTGGAACACCTCAAAGTGAGTTTGAAACATCTATACATGTACAAATAATATAATAATTTTACTAATAGCTTTTAAAAATATATTGTGAAAAATGGTGTACAAACAGGTTGGTATGGTGGGTAATGGTTTAAACAACATACAAGAAAAAATTAAAATAATAAATTTTAAGCTATAAGATTTGGAATTGTCAGTATTGTAAATATCACTTTTAACAGCATTTAATATTTATACATTTTTATTCTTTTACAATATTTAAAATTCAATTGTTGTGAAGAAGTCTATATTTTTGCTGTTATACTATTACTAGTTCATGCCCTACTGGAAGGTGTATTTATTACATTAACTCGTATCTTGTTGCAGGTAAGCGTAGAGGCACCAGTTGAGCATCCTTTCTACATTTTTCAGCAGGGTTGGTCATCTTGTTCTCCAGAAAGATCTCTTCACAGGTATGGCTTGGTCTGTCAGAAACTGAAGATTGGCGATGTCTGTATTTGTCTCACACAGAAGTTTAGTCCTGATGTACAACTAGCCTTTAACCAGTTTTCCTCTCCTGGGACCTCTGCTGCAACTTTTACAGTGCCAAACTCAGTTTCTTGTGACTTGGCAAAAGCATCAGTCCATGTCTCTGTGGGGAAGGATTTTAATGGTCCTTCTTCATCTATTAGATCTAGGATTCCTTTACTATCATCTAAGAAATCAACATGTGCTACAACTACTGTCACATTTTCAAGGCAGAGTCCCCTAGTTGCTACCACAATTACAGCTCTTCACCCACAACGAAAGCGTCGTTGGTCTGCCCCAGACATTAGGTCTGAAGCTAAATAATGTAATCTGTAACTATATATAACTACTAATATAAACTTAAGCTTAAAAAGAAGAAAAATCTGTTTAACCTGTTGATGTTGATTTTGTACTCTATCATCAAATAATAAGATTATACATACATATATTCAGTTAATGTAATTTTTGGCTCACTGAGCTGAAACTTTGGTAATGTGAATGGAATTTTAAATATCAAAAACATATTGGACAACACATACGCATATATATATACACATATGCCCACACCTTAAACTTTGCACTAAAAGAAAGCTCCATAGAACAAGTAAAGAATGATAAGGTGGAACTATATTTTCAGGTGACTTATTACGCACCAAAGCTGTTATTAGTAATAGAATAAAAGGGAGAAAGGACATACTAGGTTAGTAAACTCATTTTGACAGGTATATTTATGAAGGAGAGATTGTTGAAAGAATATATACTTGTTCAATTTTGAAAAAGGGTTTGTTTGAGAGTTTACCACTTGTTATTTTTCTATAGCTGAAAGACTTGCCTATATATATATATATATACATACTGATGTGTATATAATTATTTAAATAATTGTATTGTGCCTGTGTGGCTTCTGTAGAACCAGTGCTTTTTGTATGACATAAATTATCAAATACAACTAATGCCTTTGTGTGGTGTATTACATTGTTTTTGTGAAGGTTTCTAGTGACTTTTCTAAAGACAACCATGAATATGATGTCAAGCTTCCAAGTTTTCAGGACTGATGGTGCTACACCATTTGACACTACATGGTACCTTTTAACAAATAAAGGTATGAAATGAGCAATCCATAATTCTGGAATTAAACCCATTTCTCAGATAATCTAAGAGGTAAGTACATCACAGTCTGGGATACTGCGTATTGTGAGTTAATCACCCAATACCTATTGCCAAGCCACAAAGAACATTTACTCTGTAAGATACCTGTTGAACATTTAACGATGAAGCATATAACAGTGATAAATTTACCACCTTTCTTTGACCAACAAGTTTGTACACACTCAGTATAAGTTAATACACCAAATTGCTACATTCACATATCATTTTATAAATATACCTTACAACAGTATGAAGAGAGAGAACCATATTGCAGCAAAAATGTGAATTACTTAAACATGTAATTGAACTGGTATACCACTGAATGCAGTGTTGGTATACTGTTGATGTAATAAAATAGATACATTTTTCATCTCACAGTGGTGACAACAACATAACTTGTGCAATTACAAATCAGAATATTATTATATTCAGTAGCTGAGGGTTCCCATTAAGAAACAAAAACTGTTTAAAGGACAATGTTCCCTTCTTTCTCTCATTATTAAATCCCTAATGATCTCCTCATATGCTAAGTACGTACCTTTCTTTGCGGAAGGTAATGATAGACTTGTTTCAGTGATTATGTACTTGGATCTTCAAGTTCAAAGCCACAAGTCTATATTAAAAAAACAACAACAACAAAAGTGCCCTATTTCAGGGTGTTATATTGTCTTCCTTTTTGCACAAAAATTCTAAAAAATAGAAATGTGCCCTATTTCAAGGGATTTTTTGTTACTCTTCACAGGCAAAAATCCTAAAACAAAATACCACATGTACACTGTCAGATGATTTCAAATTACCATATCAAAATTATGGTAATCAATCTAGCCAGCTGTGGTAATGAATGCTAACACACGCACATAAAAAATAATCTTTATAATAAGATGTTGCCACATTTAAGCATAATATAAATATTGTAGTTTCACATAAAAATTTAATGTACTTTAAAAATGATTGCATTGAAGTATTTATGACACCAAGTTAACATTTTGCTGGTATTACAAGTATAATTACATATTTGAATGGAGTTGAGCAAATGGCAATGAAAAGGAGATTTCAAGTTATGATTTAAAAAAAAATCAGTAGAGATAGGATGCTGCAGCAAATAAACACCAAATTGTTGAACAAATAAAAAAACTTTGTCCTTGTACTGTTTTCAAAATTTCTCACATGAAAGTTAATAAAAGACTAAGAAGAAAAGTGCACTGATGACCTTCTTTTCCCCTTTTTAAAAATTTGAAAGACAAAAGTTGTAACTATAAATATGCTGTCTCTCTGTTTTAGAATCTATAGATCATTCAGTGGCTAAATATTGATTACACAATGAATTGGAATTTGTTACTTTTAAAGGGATGTGACAAGAATTATCTGCTGTGAATTGGGCAGCTGAGTTATTTGGAGACACTGATCAGATGTGGAAAATTTTAAAGATAAATTTTTAAATATTCGAGATAAACATATTCCTTATAGAAAGAAAAGGGTAGCTGCAAGTAAAAGACCACATTGGCTCACAAAGAGTTTATGATATAAAATTAAAGAAAAGCATAATAAATTTAAAACATTTAAATTGACTGGTATGACAGGAGATTTTGAAGATTACAGAAGATCAAGAAAGTTAGTAAAACTGGAAATCAGGACATCAAAAAGGATATATGAGAAAAGGTTGGCTGAAAATGTAAAAATTAACAGTAAGGATTTCTTTAAATACATTAAGGGTAAATAAAATGTTAGGATGGGGATACTTTGAGGGATGATAAAGGAAGAGTAGTATCTGATAATTTAGAGATGGCTGGGTTATTAAAAGTTGCTTTTTCCTCGGTTTTTACTATGAAGATTTAAGCAGTATTCCACATCTTAAACAGCTGATACATGGAAACAAGGTCATCAAACAAGATGACTGCATTAATTCTGAGCTGGTTAAGAAATAATTGGGAAGTTTAAAAAACAATAAGGCTCATGGACCAGATAATATTTCCCCAAGGGTTTTGAAGGAGGTTAAAGATTGGATATGTGAGCCACTTACTACTATGTTTTGTCAGTTCTTGAATAGTGGACAGGTACCAGAGGATTGGAAGTTAGCTAATGTAATTCCTCTTTTCAAGGGAGGTGATAAAATTGTCCCAGTAACTGTAGGCCCATTAGTCTTACATCAGTTGTGAGAAAAATTAAAAAAAAAAGATTTTTTTAAAAGATTCTTTCCAAAGTCATTTAACAAAATTTAGAATTCTATTGGATAGTGAACATGATTTCACTAAAGGAAAATATTGCCTTATAAAACTTTTGAAAAGATTACTGCTTATGTAGATGAAGGTAATGGTGTATCTGGATTTTCAGAAAGCATTTGACAAGGTGCCACATAAAAGATTTCTAAAAAAAAAATTATTGGTGTGGGAGATAAGTTAGCAAATTGGATAGAAGATTGACTGGATGGAAGAAAGCAGAAGGTTGTTACAAATGGAGTTCAGTCAAACTGGATTAACGTCACAAGTGGTGTACCTCAGAGCTTAGTCTTAGGAACTTTGCTCATTTTGATTTACATCAATGACATAGATGAAGAAATAGCCAATAAATATCTTAAATTTGCAGATCATATTAAGGTCTTGGGTGTTGTTACCTGTGAAGAGGATGCTGCTGATTTACAAAACAATTTAGATCATTTAGTGAGTTGGGCAAATAAATGGCAGATGGGTTATAATTATAATAAGTGCAAGATAATGCATGTGGGCTATCATAATTTGAATTATAAGTATAATTTGGGTGAGAATAACCTTAACAGTGTCATGACAGAAAGGGATCTTGGTGTAGTAGTTGATCAATCTCTAAAGCCATCCAAGCAATGTGATGTTACTAGTGGTAGAGCAAATAGAATTTTAGGTTGTATCTACAGAAATATTGAATACAAGTCTATAGAGATTATAATTTCATTGAACAGGGCACTGGTTAGGCTACATCTGGAATATGGTGTTCAGTCTTCGGCTTCTTACCTTAGGAAAGACATTGAATTGTTGGAAAGGGTTCAGAGAAGGGTTACTAGAATGGTTCCTGGGATGAAGGGGTTGTCATACAAGGATAGGCTGAAATCTCTCAAACTGTTTTCTCTTGAAAAAGGAAGAGTTAGGGGGATCTGATTGAGGTGTTTTAAGATTGTAAAGGGAATTGATAGTGTTGATGTATAGTAAGACTAGGAGACATAAATATAAATTTTGGCAAGGTAGGAGTCGTCTTCAGCTAAAACAGTTTCATTTTTCTAACAGGGTGGTTGGCCTTTGGAATGGGTTGCCAGATGTTGTAGAGGCAGTAAATTTAAGAAAAAGCTTGATAAGTATATGAATAATAAAGGCTGGCTTTAAGATATTTTAATTTAGTTTAAGAGTATGGAACAGCCGATATAGACCAATAGGTCCCATGTTGTCCCAAAACATGTTAATCAGTGCCACTGTTTTGTGCAAAAGAAGAAAAAGTTAATTAAACTTCAGCACTATTGTTAGTTGTTACTTCAAAGGAGTTAATTTAAGGAATAATTTAAATTTGTTTAGAAATGATATCAGGAGCTTTTATTAAGTACAGTGTCACTTACTTATAAAAATTATTTATAAACTGGATAATACTCTCGACAACAGTGTATTCACCTGTTTCTCTTCTCAGTTGGTGCTGCAAACTATACACTAAATGCATTGATGGTTTATTCAAAGCACACTGATAACCTACCATCTTCCTAATTTACCACATTTGGCAAAATACTTTGTAATTTTTTATTTTTTTGTATTATGTCAAGATATCTTAAAACAGCATGTAAATCACATTTAGCCAATTATATGAAGAAATCCTGAAGTTAGTTGCACATTTAATGGTTGATTTTTGATGAGAATGTTTAACATAATACATATGTATGTGTGTAAGATGTTGATAACATTAACATATTTTTTGGAAACTTGTTTCTTTGCTTTTTTTTTTCTTCATAAACTCATATGATCTGTTAGAAAAACGTTCTTTTTTTAGGTTGTATTTTTCAATTTATTTAAAGCCTGGAAAAAATAGTTTAAGATGGTAATTTTAGACTAGTCTGTAGCAGTAATAAAGACTTTGCAAATTTCAGTGTACTGATTTCTAATTCATGCATGAAAATATACTTGCACAATAAACAAAATCAAATAATTTTTGAAGTTGCTTTAACAGACAGTAACAGGGTACGATAAATCCAAATATTGTATGCTGATTATTTTAGGGTATCTTAATGTCTCTGAAGTGTCTTGCACTTCATTTCCAGAATATCTCAAAGCAACATTAGAAGAATTTCAGTACATCTTCTCTGCTTGGGATGTAAAGAATTAAAGACGCACTGATTTTTAAGTTCTGCTACTTTCTTCAATAAAAAGTTTGACTTTCTACGTTAAAGAGTTTTGTACGTGTCAACTAGAAGACTGGTATCTCTCCAGATTTCCAGAAGTATGTAATCTGGGAACAATTTCAGTTATTCTCTTCAACAGCCTAACTTTGTGTTTCATATGCATATTTGGTATATGTTTCTTTTTCTAGATTTCTGTATTTCAATAAAACATTTTGATATATCTCAGACTCTTTAGCTCCGTGTGTTCTAGAAAGAGGTTAATAATGTCTCCAACTACGTAGATTTATGTTTTTAAGTAACAGCTTTGTATACCTCCACATCTTTACATCCATGTGTTCTACTAATAGACTAAACATTTTAACCAGCTTTATATTTAGCAAGAGATTTAGTATGTTTCCAGTTTTCTTGGTACATGTGTTACTGATGAAATTTAGTATCTATCTCTCTTTCTAAATATTTTATAGTAACAGATTTCCTCAATTTTATCTTTTATGGTAAACCTGATATGTACTCATTGTTCAATTAAACATCTTGCTAAAACATGTTTGACAAAATTTTACACAGTTTTTACAACAAAGCTTAAAATATCCATTGGTTTAATTTTTATGCATTGTACGAGTTTTTTTTTTTTCATTTGACCTTTGTCGAGTGCTTAACCAAATGATTAATTTTCAATTTTAATCATACTAGGAATTGCTTCTCATGTATTTAATTTCTGTACAGATATGCTCAAAGATTATTGTCTTATTAAGACACTTAACTAAAATCATTCTGGGCTTGGTTCCAAAAACATTGATATCATAAAGTTCATTCTGGTTCATCGTGCGATAATCTTAACAAAAATAAATCTTAATTTAACAATTAAAGTAAAACATTAAGTGAAAATATATTTTGTAATAAAAAAATCTTGATGCTGAGACTTGTACCAGTGTTGGTATTAATTTTAACTATTAGTTTAGCATTCAAACCAACCCAAAATCAGCAACAACTTACAATGCATAATTAACAAAAGTTCACTTTGCTGAATTATTTAATACAATATACTTAACTTCCAGTTTTATTTTTTCCCAACTATAAACTCTTAGAACATAATAAACAAGAAGTTCTCTATCACAAGCTATTTTTTTTCTTAAAATCAGTATTTTTGAAACCGTTGAAGTAAATCATAAGTATAAGGCCAATCTTAGTGATTCAAACAATCGTTAGTATGAGACCAATCTTAGTGATTCAAACAATCGTTAGTATAAGACCAATCTTAGTGATTCAAACAATCGTTAGTATGAGACCAATCTTAGTGATTCAAACAATCGTTAGTATGAGACCAATCTTAGTGATTCAAACAATCGTTAGTATAAGACCAATCTTAGTGATTCAAACAATCGTTAGTATAAGGCCAATCTTAGTGATTCAAACAATCATTAGTATGAGACCAATCTTAGTGATTCAAACAATCGTTAGTATAAGACCAATCTTAGTGATTCAAACAATCGTTAGTATAAGACCAATCTTAGTGATTCAAACAATCGATAGTATAAGACCAATCTTAGTGATTCAAAAGGAAGCAAGTTTTTCATTCCTACATTTCCACAATACATAATAAACCAAACTGAAGTTTTATTTGAAAATACTCAATATTATTCACATCCACTTCAAAACAGACTTTTTAATAGCACACACACACATATAGTGGAGGTGATGAAATAGACCAGCACTTGAAATTGATCAGTTAAGATAATGCTTAAAGTACACATGACATTTACCTCAATATTGTTTTCACTTAAGTACAACAATCCTCAATTCTTACAGTACATATGACAGCCAATTGCTATAATTACACAAAGTATAATCCATTCAAAATTAAATTTACAGAAAAATTATAGTAGAAATGGACCTGAAAAGGTCTTCCATACATGAACACATTCAGAATAAAGCTTGAAATCTGATCAGTACAGTTCAGATTACAACTCAGACATGAAAAAATTTAAATCAAGCCAAAAAGTTTCAATTATGAACAAATATTTAAACTTACACTGGCATCACTCTCTTTGATCCAATTATAAAATGCATCTTCCACTATCCTTAGCCACAATATAAAATCAATGGTCAAATACAATTTCAATTAAATGTATTTGTTACTATCCTTCAATAAACCACAGAAGTTTGTTACTGTTCATGTATATGTAAACTAGTACCAGAATTAGCAACAGTTTTGATAAATTAACGAGTATTTAACATACATCTTTTACAACGGAGAGTAACCAGATTGTGCTTAGTCAGTAGGGTGCAGAAAACAATGGTTATTACTGAAAAGTACTAAATGTACACAAGTTATTACAAAAATAATTTCACTCTTCAATAATAAAACTCGGATATTTATTGGTTAGAACTTTTACTTACATAAAATACTTTAACTTCCTTCTATTTCTTCCAAATGATATAATATTAAACAATATTTCCATGCAAAAACAATTGAAACTACTGATGTAAATTGTTTTATGATTTTGCTGGAGGAACAGGATCAGAAGCACTTCCACTTTCCAAGTCGCTCAGCAGTTCTACTCCACTTAGAATGTGGATCTGATGGTTCTGTTGAAGCTCAGCTAAGTGCTCTGGTGTGGCATGAATAACTTCCACTTCCCCCATGTTCTGTGCTAATCACCTAACAAAACATTCATCAGTACAGTTACATAGTCATAATAAGGTTATTTGTAATAACTTCTCTTTGGTTTGTATCTTATCAAATCTGCTCAACATATCACATGAATGTTTATAACTGCTTCAATCTTCTGTGTTCATGAAACCAAAGAAGCCCCCTCCATTTTTTTTTGTGCAAAAACTTCATGGGCAATTGAATAGAACAAATAGAAGTTAAATGTTTGTAATGTAAGATCCCCTAGCTTTTTACCACAGTAGTTTTCACTAACAAATCTCTACTATACAGACATTGGTACAATTTTCACAGAATTAAAACTAAAAGTTTAGAGCTGGACAATTACTTGATATAATCAATTACCTACGAGCATCAATTAGTGTCCCATAAAATATTCAGTTACGATTAAATTGATTAATGTCAAGAAAATAATCCACTAATCAAAGTTAGTGTCACTAACGTTGAAATGCCGATTAGAGGGAAGGCAACGGGCCAGTAGAACCCTACTCTTGAGCTAGTTTAGTGTCATACAAAGAATATGTTTACTGTTTTTTACATTGTGATATGTTGTAACCAAAACACATGTAGTGTGTCGTGCATCCAAAATAACCTGTAGGACACACCATGTCTAATTAACGGGAGTGATAGTTTAGTAATTTTCCACTTTCCGTAACTCAGTAATGCAAACTGTCACATATTTTCAGTGGATGTGCTCTACTGGACCCTTACTTCACATACCAGATTTCAAGAAAATCCATTGAGAAATACGCGAGATATAAAATTTCCACCTTTGCTTGAAGTTTTTCCTTTTGATTTTCTTTGCACAGAAAGTACCAAAAATTTATTTGATAGAAAAAACATACTTAACTTTTATGGATTTTTTTCAAATTTGGTACGTTGATAGATCTTTAGAACCTATAATTAGATGTCAAATTTATCTAAATATAAGCCATATGTGTAAAGTTATTCAACAAATACCACTCGATTTTGAACAAAATGTTTGCGCAAAAAGTCACGTTAGCTACTGGTCTAAACTATTTACTACAGCTTCACCTAAGAGTAAAAGTGGACCACTTTTAGTTTTTTTGTCATTTGGATTAAAGTTGGCTAATTTAGAGCAGCAAAACTATAGGGTCAAAAACGTGCTAATACATAAGTATTGGTTAGGCCAAACAAACTAGATTAGCAGTTTCTAGCTCAAGTTTTCAAAAGAATCATACAGGTGGATGGATATTATTCATTGCCACTTTTTAAGTACAAATTAGCTAAATTCTATGGATTAACTTACTTTTTTCTGATTTGTAAGTTTAATTACCCTTATTTGCTCTTTGTTTGACCTTGAACCTTTGTTTCTTTACATTTATGACACAAATCTGGATTGAAGGAATTGTTTTTCTTCCTCTCCATGTATGTTTGAACTAGATAGAGCTTTTAATGCTATTGCAACATCTTGGTTCATCCTTTCAAAATGTCCATGGTGATGGTCTCCAGAAAGATCCTATATTAGTTTTTTTTATCCCTCAGGAAACTGGATTTAATTAAGGTTAATGCCTTGAGTTCCCCCAAATAACTAGTTTGTTTCTCTTTCCATCTTCATTGATTTTGGATGACTTTGATGTTGGTTATTAAATATTCAGTTTTGTTGATGGGTAAAGCCCTTTCCAGTCAACTGTTTTGAAGACAAGCCAGTTTTGTGTAACCATCCAGTTATCATCTTTGGTTTCTCTGGATTTTACATTTTTAAGATTTAGTACCTATTAAAATTTTGTTATATGCAACAGGAATCTTTCTTCTAGCAGAAACCACAGCTGAAAACGTTTTTCATATGCTTTAATATTCTTGTGTTTGGGTTGACTTCCCTAGTCACCCTAATTCAGTGATATGTAGTAATTCCATGAATAAACCTTATTACTACATCACTGCTGTCTAAAAAAAATAATTATTGATAATGTCAATGATGCCTAGTCTTTAACTTCTTACATAAATATAAGTTATTTTGTGATGAATAAAAATATTCAATACACTACACAAAATTTGACTTGTAGAAGTTTCAAAAGTGAAGAAATGTTTCAAATCCCTATGCACAATACCTTTTGATTCTATTCAAATCTTTTCCTCTTCCTGGTTCTGCAAAGAGGTGAATATTCTTCTAAGTAAGTGATGAAAAGCTACAGGAATAACTTTTAAGATTTTGAAAATTAGGGAAGAATTTTGAACCATGGAAAAGACAAAAAAGGGTAAAGAGTAAATTATGTGAAGGAGAAAGAAAAAGAAAATAAAAAAGAAGGGAACAGAAAAGAAACTGTTTATAGACTATTAGGTTTTGTTGCTGAAGCTATTGTGAACCAGTCAGATACGGGTAAAATTCAGGATTGAGGGTACTGGAAAGATTTTTGATAGTCTACAAGAACATTTACTCCTGCAGCACAAACTGAAATGTGCAAATTCACTCTCTCATGTACTCCATATTATAATTATTATCGCTCTCTATGGAATTCAGAAGATACTATGTAATTTTGTTAATAGATCAAGGTATTTCTAGCCTCTTCAGAAAAAGGTTATTGTGAGGGTCAGAAGAATCTCTTTGGTTTTTTATTTCTGTCTCTTTAATATAACAAAAAATTATGGATGGACCAGTAACTTATCTCTATCTTTCAATTTAAACACAAATCTTACAATTCAACTTTATGGAAATTGGATAATCTAAGAAAGCTGAATTTTTCTTTCAAGAATGATCCCTAGATGAGGAACAGTTCATATATTTACTCCATTTTCTCTGCTTCTATTTTATGCTCAAATAGAAAATATTATTTAAGAAAGAGGATGTACGCTAGTCCCTCTTTAAATGTGGGTAAAAACATGAAACAGTAAATTGCTGGATGGAGAAACTGTTTCACAAAGTGAAAAATGAAGTGAAGCAAACAATCAACATGTCAGAGAAAGCTGGATGTATATATATAGATATCTGTATGAAATTTATTTTAGTAAACTATAAAAATTTCATACCTGTGATGTACACTGGAAAGGTATGGAAACACTACTTTCATCTGTTTGATGAAGAGAAACTGGTATGGCTTGTCCAGCAGTAACATTTCTTTCCAAGAAGATATGACTTTCTGTTTTGATCGAAGGTTCAAATTCAATGTCATGCTGAGCTACAGAGGGTGAATCTGGACCAATTAAGTTGCAATTTGGTGATGATATTTGAACATATTTCTGTGAAATCTTAAATTTAAACACATATCACGGTAAGTAGGAAACCCATTTGCTCAAAGTACACACACCTAACCTGGAATATTATGGATCTACATACATTTCCAAAATGAGGAACACACCACTTTGCATTTGGAACAACTTATGACCAGCTGAGAACCATAATTTTTAAATTCCTCAAATTAAAGAGATTTTTAATTTAATTTGGTAGCATCTCTTGTTATTGACTTAAATCTCTTTACAAGGTTTCACAAAGGCTTGAACTGCAGTTCCAGTTAATCTTCAGTCACATGTAAAACTGGATAGCCTCAAACACTCTTTTTAATTGTAATAATCTGCAAATGGTTCACATATCATGGTCCTTAATATACTCATTATATCATTTCAACATTTATATCTTTACAACTCATGTAAAGATAAATAACACACCTACTTTCCGAGTGAAAAGATCCTAACCTTACCTATCACTCAACAACTGTATATACAGCTTTATTCTTTCGCATTCATAACTTAGAAGTTTGAAAGAATACAACTTTAAGATAATACACCACATCTAATTTCTTTGAGAAAGCAAACCTTTGGCTGCATCTTGCTACTTCTTAATGTACAACTTGATAAATATATGCTCAACAATAAATATACTGATTTATCTATCATAGTATTTTTGTTTACTTGTGTTTAAGTGCAATGCTACACAATGAACTAATTTTGCTGTGCCCAATATGGGTATTGAACCCCCAATTTGTGGAGTACAAGCCCTCAAGGTAATCAGTGAGCAACTGGGGGGGGGGGACATAGTGAAGAATGTGATATGTTAGAAACATATAATTGGAATATCAAATGTGATACATGAAAGAAAGGCTCCTGAATAACTTATATGAAATAGAAATAAATGAATGGGACAAGATAATGGCCAAAGCAGTAGTGTATGAAATATGATAGGGAACATGATGTATTACACAGAATTGCATGAAACATTGTTTCCATAAGGTAAAAGAAAAAACAAAATCACTAAAATTTTAAAATTACCTCATTTACAGATTTTAATATAACATGAACTCCACCAAAATTAAATAGCTAATATTGCATTATATTTCACAAAATATGCAGTAACAGCTGTTGAAACATTTTAGCAATAACAGTAACATAAAATCTATTGGAAAAAAACAAACCTTATTCAAGTAAAAAATAAAAAGGTTATGAAACAAGCCATTAAAATAAATTCTAAATGATTGTGCTACTAAGCAAAGTATCAGCAAATTCTTCACTATTTACAGCTCCCTATGTGTATTTCAACTTTTCCAAACTTCAGTTTAATAATAAGTAATAAAGCCTTGTATCTTTCTCCCCAATACCATGTTTTAGCTAGAGCTATAAACTCCGCTAGGTATAATCAAAACCAAATTATAATTTACTGCACAAATTATTTCAACTTGCCAATAGGCAACAAGTCACTTTGTACATGATTGGCACTGAACATACATCACAACACATTACCATGCCAACAAAGGGAAAACTTAAATTCATATTGTTACTGAGACAATTCACTCATTAACAATGGTGCATATTTTACGGTTTTCCAACACAGTGGTCATTCCATTATTTTTAAATGTTTTTCATTTTCATACTGCAATTTTTTTGTTTGTAATCAAGCACAAAGCTACACAATGGGCTATCTGTGCTCTGCCCACCACGGGTATCGAAACCTGGATTCTAGTGTTGTAAGTCCGCAGACATACTGCTGTGCAACTGGGGGCTATACTGCAATTCAACCTAACAAACAACTTTTCAAAAACCTGATGGGGTTGGAATTTATCAGGTTCTCCTGCTAAAAACCACTGATTTTCCAGTATTTCCAATAACGAAAAATTTATTTTAAAAAGTTCAAACTGTCCAGGGTTCAAACCACTGATAAAAAAGGTAAGGAACATAACAAGTAGAACAGATGTTAATAAAACATTTACTATGATGAACAACCATAAATTAAACAATCTACTATGATATTATTCCAACTGTTCATACAATTTAACCTGAAAAGTATCAGATTATTACACAATAAACATCAATTACAAAAGTGTGTTAAACTTGCCAATAAAAAATATACAATAAAATCCATTAACATTACTTAAAGAATTTATAATAAAACAATCCACAGAGGCTTAATTATTTCGGATATCATGAATGTTGTCCGACTCCAAGGTTTTTACAGTGTTAAAACTAATTGTTTCTTCTAATCTATAACTTTTAAGTTTCATTCATTGCAAACTATAGGTGACTAATATATATGAAAGGATAAATTCAGTTAACTTAAAACAAACTTTTATTAGGCATGCGATTTTCAAAATATTCAGTTATTAAAGTGTTACTGATATTATAAAGTATCCGATTTCTACATAAAACAAAGTATACAGTAATTTCCTCACCTGTGTCGAAAAGCTTTTACAGTTAATGGCATTCCTCTCTGTTTTCTGCGGAAAGCTGTTCGGCACTTGGAATCAAGATTCTGCTGAATTCGATGCCAGTCTTTTGTACATATTCTAAACTTGTGCATAAGGTGGCTTGATACAAAGAAACAAAAGTTACTAAATAGCTTGAGGTTGAAGTACAACTTATAACAAAGGGCATGTTCACTTATCTATCAAACTTTCACTGAAGAAAAATTGCAATAAACACAAAGCAAATTCAAAAGTAAAATTAAATAGTACAAATTTTCATAACTTTTCTATTACATTAAGAAGCTAGGAGTTACACATTTCAGTAATAATGCTTTGTAAAGTCAATTTCTATAATTTATTTTCCAACCATACTAACTGTCAAAATTCAAATACGACTTTAATACAAATATCAATTTCAAATAACTTGGATCAGAAAAAAATTATTAATTTAGAATAGTTTTTAAAATAACAAGAATACTCTTCACATCCAAAAAGAACTAATTCAGTAATTTTGCAAATTTGCTTAGTTCTGTAAATTATCTAAATTAAAGTTTTCTCAGTCTAAACTGTTGTGAATATATTAGACAACAATGTCAGTAA